TTCCATCACTATTATCATCCTCATCATCTCTTCCTCTTTGTTTTCTCCATTTGCTCCTTCTATAAGTCCTTTCTATTCCCTGAGTAGTGGAATTCCAGACTGATCTTCTATATTTTACACTGACAATTTTAAGTTTCAACAAATCATTTTATTTTCTGATTGTTCCTCTTTTAGACAGCTTGTTCATGTTTTATGGATCTGACATCTCAGAGTATTTTAAAAGTTGGTTTCTGTTTCCTAAATTACTTTGTTTCTTCTGAGTCAGCTATTTTGTTTGTTCATTTCTGTCTTCTTTTGGGGGAATCTTTTGTCTTCTTAAATCTTAGGTTGTCCTTATTTATCCACTTTTACTTGACAAATGAAAAAGTAAGTTGAAATAGGTAGCTCACAAAATGTTCCTCTGCCTTATGCAACTCTATTTGTGCAAACAGTCTCTTAGCTTTCTTATATACTTGTGTCAACTTTTTGTTGGGAAATGACATGGTAAGACTTTGGTCAAAAGGAGAGTGCTTTGGTCCAGGTCAAAAGGAGAGTGTGGTGTTTCTTACATTGTTCCTTTCTCCAAGACCAGTGTGGTTGTAAAGGCATCGATGGTCTTAAAATTCTGGGAAGTGAACGGCAGCAGAGTGAACAGAATCAAAGTCAGAGCAAAACGAGCCACTTAAGAATTAGGAGGAGCAGAGGAACAAGCTGTGTGGTAGACCTATAAGAGATCAATATACAGCAGCCCTCTTTTTGCCAGCTAGATCACCAAGGGAGTCTTTGGAAGAAAAGTGGGACTAGAACCTTCTGATACATGAGTAAACACTATTCACTTCTCTCGTATGTTGTTGCTATTGAACTTCAACTTGTTTTATTGTATCTTTTAGTGTAAGAGACCCAAATCATTGGTAACAGGATACAGCATAGAAAATGACATTTCAAATTTTATATAACAAAAAAATGATGATCTGTAAGTAGTAAATTTTTACTCAGGAAAATATAAAGTAGAAGTCATGGAACAATAGAGCATAATGAGTGAGCTATGTAGATCAGCCTAATGGTCCCAATTTCCAATTTAACTTAATTTCTTAGATGCTGCGGAAAACAGGAGAACAGGCCACTTACATAATTCTGAGGACCAGTTCTAAAGGTGGGTGGGATAAAGCATTTTGTAAAACTGAGTTTTAAAGGCAATTTCTGGTACGGTGGCTCACGCCTGTAATCTCAGCACTTTAGGAGGACAAAGTGGGTGGATCACTTGAGGTCAGGAGTTTGAGACCAGCCTAGCCAACATGGTGAAACCCCATCTCTACTAAAAAATACAAAAATTAGCCAGGCGTGGTGGCAGGCACTTGTAATCCCACTTACTTGGGAGGCTGAGGCAGGAGAATCTCTTGAACCTGGGAGGCGGAGGTTGCAGTGAGACAAGATCACACCACAGCACTTCTGGCTGGGTTATAGAGTGGTGGCTGTCTCAAATATTTTAAAATTTTAAAAATTAAAAATAATAAAAGCAATTTCTCATATCAAACTTAAGGTAGAAGGAAGTAAGCAATAGGAAAGATAATGGCAACAATGTTGGTGATGATTGCCATTTTTTGAGCACTTTCTATGTGCCAGGCATCATGCGATACACCTTACATGGGTAAAAATCACGTATCTCCATTATGTAGCTGAGGAAAGAGACAGCCAGAAACTCTTAAGTCGCCAAGACCACGGGTCTAGTACATTGCTAAAGTAAGATTTGAAGCTGCATCTGTCAATCTTCAAAGACTGTGCTCTCAGTTCCTAGACCCAACTGCCTCTTCAAAAGGCAGACGCCATGACACTGAAATACCTCAGCAATGGGGCTTCTGTGAGTGACTGACATCACTCACATCAGATAATACAGACAGAGGGGTTTCATAGGACACACCAACCCTTTACACACAGGTTCCCACTTAATTTGAACAAGTAGCACTTTTATATAAACTGTATCTCCCACTTATGTCAGCAATAGTTTACAAAGCAGTGGTTTACAAAGTAAGCACCAAGAAAATAATCACATGATCTGGACACTCACACACAGCAGAAAGTGGAGAACTCCTTAGTCGTTTTTCACTTTTGCCTGATATATGATGTAAGATGCAACTCCTCACCCTCCATCAACATGTGTTCACATCAATGCTAGGTACCAGGTAATGGAGTTAGATGACCATGATACCTTTATACATAGCCAACCCTATGCCCAACTCCCTCCCCATTAAGGCCATTGACTTTCAGCCCTATTGTGTCCCCTTAATTCTTCTACCAAGCCTAGACTTGACATTTATAAAGGGAGCATGATTCCACAAGTCCATCATTTCTTTACAGCTTATCCAATGTAATTTCAATATTGTTTAAGGTATTTTCAAGTGTTAATGAGTAGAGAATGTTTGGATGGTGGAATCCAATCTAGATAATTAGGATTCTTATGGAAATACTTTTTTCTTTCAACTTTTTACATAAAAAATGCACCCTGCCCCCATGTATATGTAGATTCCCGTATGTCAGTTCCAGGTAGTGTCTTACCCAGCTGGCTATCTTGGAAGACAGTTCACCAAAAGCAGTGAGGGGCTGGGGAACAATGTGATACGAACCTGATGAGGTCAATCCGATGGAGGGATCAAGAACAGAACAGAAGGGCTGCAGGTACTTTAGTGATAGTGACACAAAACCGAGGCCAGACTGGATGATAGTCACAGTCTCATTCTTTGGCATTCAGGACTAATACAAGTCCTTATGATTCTGCATCGATTATCTATTAAATAGTGTAACAGACTATTTCTCTGTGGCCTTTTTTTTTTCCATTTGTCATCTTTCCCAACACGTAAAACACATAATTTTGTATTTGTCTGATTTGATGTTGGACATGGGAAAGTCAAAAGCTATCTCAAGATAGCAAATATAGCCTGCACATGTCAGTGTTTATGGGTAGAACACAAGTTGATTAGGGCTCATAGGAAGATGATACAACAGGACTTACAAGGCCAAATTTGGAAGGAGGAGGTCATTCCTCCATCACTGCTGGCCAGTGTCAAGTTTGTCAAGAACCATAAGCTATTAGAGTGATTGGGGAACAAGGGACTAAACTTGGCAAAGTGCTGTGAAAGGCAGTAGGAGCCTTCTTCTATGTACATGCCCTGTAATCAAACCTAGAGACATCCATATACTTGCTTCTATGATATGACAAGCAACAATAAAATATCCTGTGATTCTCCAAATGAGACTGGTGTGTTTTCTCCAAGTTA